TTGGGACACGGGGGGGAACGACCATCCAGAACACAATAAACTTGTTGACGCTTCGCGTATCCCCACCAGTCTCCGTAGCCTGGCTCAAGCCGCTCTGGCTCAAGCGGGCCTCAGCGGCTGGCCGGGCCCCTGCCCTCCGGGCCTCGGCGTCCCTGCCCGCGGGGGCGTGCGAGGGGGTCGCCCCCCTCCGCGCCCCCGCTCGCTCTGCCATGTTGTCGCGCTCGGCGCTGCGGCGGCGGCAGCGGCGCGCTGCCGCTGGCCGCGCCGCCGCCGCGGCCAGCCCGGCCGGCCGGCCGCCGCCGCGGCCTTCTTCGGCCCCTGGCGGCCCTGGCGTGGCCTGCAGCGCCGCCGCCGCGGGCCGCCGCCGCCGCTGCCGCCGCGCGGCCGTGGCGGCGGCCGGCCGCGGGCGAGGCCGGCGCGGCCGCCGGCGCCGTGGCGCGCGCCGCTGCGCTTGGGCCGGCCGCTGCGGCCGCGCCGCCGCGGGAGCGGCGGCCGCCGCGTAGCCGCCGCGGCCGCGGGTGCCGCCGCGCCCGCTGTTGCCCCCGCCGCGGCTGGCGCTGCCGCTGCCGCCGCCGCGGCCGCCTCTGGCGGGCCGCTGGCGGCGGCCGCTGGCCGTGACGCTGGTGGCGCCCCGGCCGACGGGACCGCGCTCCGCATGCTGAACGCCGAGGTCGCGAACGGATGGCTGGCGAGGATGGCGACCACCGGGATGTCCTACCAGGACGGCCTCGCGGGCGGCGCGTGGGGCGACTGGGCGCTGTACACGGACTCCCCGCTGCGCGCCTTCGTGAGCGAGTCGGACGTACAGTTGCCTGGGTGCTTCTGGAACCCCGCTGACTTCACGACGGACGGTGACGCCGCGTCCGCCGCGGCCGCCGCCGCCGCCTCCGCCGCCGCGGCCGCCTCAGGCGGGCCGCCGCCGCCGCAGGCGGAGGCAGTGGCAGCTGGCCGTGGAGCAGCTGGCTCCCCGCTGCGCGCCTTCGAGGGCGCGTTGGGCGTGTCGGCGCCCGTCGGCTACTGGGACCCGCTCGGCCTTCCGCAGGACTGTGACGCGGATGTCTCCTACAGGAGGAGGTGCACCGAGAGCAAGCACGGCCGCGTCGCCATGTTGGCTGCCAGGGGGTACATCGCTCCGGAGGTCCTCCGGTGGCCGGGAGGTGTCGCCTGCGATGGGCTTGCATTCGGGGCCCTCAACGGGATCAAGGGGGACGGCATCGCAGTCCCTGAGAGGAGGATGCGCTCCCTGAGCGCGGAGCTGCCCAACGGCCGCCAAGCCATGATGGCCATCATTGGGAGTCTCCTCCAGGACGGCCCCACAGGCTCCGCCCGGGGCGACTGGGCGACCTACACGGATCCGCCGCCGCGCGCCGTCGAGAGCGTGTGGGACCTGCAGACGCCCGTCGGCCACTGGGACCCGCTCGGCCCTGCAAAGGACGGCGGTGCGGACGTCTTCTACAGGAGGAGGTGCACCGAGATCAAGCACGGCCGCATTGCCACGTGGGCCGCCATGGGGTGCATCGGGACGGATATCTTCCTGTGGCCGGGAGGTGTCGCCCTCGAGGGGCCTGCCGTTGCGAGTCTTCCGAAGGGCCTGAGCGCCACGGGCAAGGTGTTTGGTGTCGACTGGGGGCAAACGGCTCCCTCGAGCTTCACGCGGCCAGGCAGGACCCCACGGATCCTCTGGGCAAGCTCAGCAGGACCGAGGCGGGCGTCGGAAAGTCGTCTTTCGGGGCCCTCGGCTGGTTCAAGGGGGCCGGCATCGAGGACCCTGAGAAGAACAAGCGGTCCCTGAACGTGGAGCTGGCCGAAGGCCGCCTGGCCATGACGGCCGTCATCGGGATGTTCTTCCAGGACAACCTCACGGGCTCCGCCTGGGGCGACTGGGCGACCTACACGGAGTCGCCGCTGCGCGCCCTCGAGAGCGAAATGTGCGTGCAGGCGCCCGTCGGCAACTGGGGCCCGCTCGGCCCCGCGGAGGTCCACGTTCACGACCACGTCGGCGACGACCACGACCACGACGGCTACGAAGACGACCACGGCCACGTTCTCGACGGCGACAACCACGACCTCCACGGAGACTCGACCTCCCCCATGCGAGCACACATCGCCGACCCCTCCCTCTCCTCCGTCAATTTACCAGATCTTGCGGCGATCGGCTGCGCCTCCTCCTCTCCTCCTCCCCCTACTGCGCAGGGCACTCTCTCAGCAGGGCATGGGCACAATCCACAGGTTGTGCCATGTTCCCCCCGCGCCGTGCAAGGAGAGCATCCCCAGGCTGAGGCTGAGGCCACCAACGACCCCCCCCTCCAGCAGGGCCAACAGGCCAGAGGAACGGACTGGGAAGTTCGGGGGGAATCGGCGGAGGCTGTGGAAGCCGCGGAACATCCCTTTCTGGATAATCAGCCCGCCAGCAGTCCTCTGGGGGAGCCAGACACTCGGCAGGGAGACCACATAGCTGCCACCCAGACGCGGGACACCGAAGCCATACGCCGGCTCGTCGAGAGAAATCTCTTCGCACCTATTCGCCCTCCGTCCCCTGACAGTGATCGGCTGCACCAAAGCGGCCGCAGCTGCTGCTGCAGCAGCAGCAGCGGCAGCCTGCCTTCCCCCGTTTCGTCAACTGAAGACAACGTTCCAAAAGGGAATCGACGTGCGGTTGAGGCAGAAACCGCGATACCACCCCCCACTTCGTGGTCTGACGATGGTGCCCCGGTGGGGAATCGAGAGGAGGTCGCCAGCAGTGACCAGTGTACAGCTCACACGAAAGTTCCCCCCCTTTAGCTGCACCAGCAGGCCAGAGGAAAGGAGCGGGAAGTCAGTGCGGAGACGGCGGAGGCTGCGGAAGACGCGGAGTACCCCCCTCTGGTCAAACCGTCCGTCAGCAGTCTTCTGCACCAGCAAGACAGAGGAATGGGGGGGGACGTCGCGGCGAAGACGGCGGAGGCTGCGGAAGCCGCGGGATTTCCCCCACCGGGCAACCAGTGCGCCAGCGGTCCTCCGGGATGCAGTTTCCAGGGCGCGGCTCATGCGAACGACCCTCGAGAGGAGGCAACGTACAGTGACCAGTGGGCGGCTCATCCTATCACGCATGTTCCCCCCGCAACAGGACAGGGTCAGGGCTCCCATCGTGGCGTAGGCAGCTCAGCGAGGATCAGGCGCGACGATCTGGCCTCTGCTCAGGAATGTCCCCCATTGCAGGACGCAGAGGCACCCGAGGTGGCATTTGGGGACCAGTGCCCCGAATCGTGATGTTGATCAGAGGGAGGAGATTAGCACTGGGGCGCAGACAAACGCGCTCTCGAGTAGAGGCCGAGGCGCGGCGCAAGTTCCCCCATGCGACCAGGAAGGAAGCCAGGCAGGGAGGGGGGCCGACGACGCGTGCCCACAGATGCAGGACCTCCCAGCCCCTGAGGAAGAAAGAGGCGCGGCACAGAGCAGCACACAGGGGGCGATGCATCACTCGACAGAGCCTCCTACTGCGCAGTGCACTCTCGCAGCTGGAAATGGGCACAACCCACATCTTGGCGCTGGCGAAGCGAAGGCCGACGCCGAAACCGACGACGACGCCGACGCCGACGCCGACGACGCCGACGTAGACGACGTAGACGCCGACAACGACGTGGTTGTGCCATGTCTCCCCCGCGCCGCGCAAGGGGATCATCCCCAGGCTGAGGCCGAGGCAGACGACTCGGGCCACTGTGCGCGGGCGCCCAGTCTTGCGCTGGGCACTCCCGCTGCAAGAAATGGGCACAGCTCCCATCCCGGCGCAGGCCCCCCAACTGTGAGCAGACCCCCCCGCGCCGTGCCAGTCTGGCGGTCAGCCTTGAGGCCTGCATTTCCCCGCGAGGTCCTGCCGGGCATGCAGCTGTCGCCGTCGCGAGCAGATCGCGAGCCCCCCAGCCAGGGCTGCGAGGCACTTGCGGTGGAAACTTGCGGCCAGGACACACGGCCACACCAGGGGCCCGACTCGCGGAAATGGCCAGAGCCCGCAGACCCCCTCTCGGGGCTGCCGCTGTACAAAGCAGGAATCAACAACATTCAGTAGGACCTCCCCGGGGAGACGCCCGGCGAAGCGATGCGACGACTCCAAGTCACACTAGGATCGATGTTCACTGGCGCCTGGCACGCTTTCGCCAAGCGGCAGTCTGCGCCCGGCAGCGAGGGCGCGCTCGACCCGCTTCGGCGCGACCCGCAGTCCTGCCACCTCTTCCTGGAGTCCTTCCGCAGCCACAAGGGCGACGCACGGGCCCTCAGCGACGCACTGGGCCTCAACGTCGACTGGGCCCGGCAGTGGCAGATGCACCCGGGTCGGTGGCGCCCGGTTCACGCGGCCCCGCCCAGAGGAAAATGGCGGGAAGTCACGGCGGAAGCGACGGGGGCTGCGGAAGCTGCGGAGCATCCTCTCTGAACTTTCCGTCCGTCTGTCGTCCTCTGTCTGGGCCTCCCGCGCGGCAGGGAGACCGCGGGACTGCCTTCCTGATGCGAACAACGCAGCCTCCCATGCGGGTGCACCGCCCCTTGTGTCGCTGCTGCCCGCTCAAGTGGCATATCCTTTGGCAGGCTCCTCCATCCCACGGCGGGCCCGGCCCACTGGGACGGTTGTTCCCCCTGCTCCTGCGACGGAGCACATCCGACGACTGGGGCTATGGTATCGTACGAGGGCTGCAGCGCCACGGCCGACTGGGACCAGTGCTGGTGCTACGCGCAGGGTGGTCCCAGCCGGAACCAGGCCCTGGGCTCCACCGTGGTCGGCGAGACGCGCATGTTGGGTCCTCGGCAGTCTGTGTCGCCTGGCCCACCTTCGCCTCCCCTTCCTCCAGTAATCACAAGTTTCGCGGCTATCGGCTGCCCTTCCCCCCCTCCTCCACGCACGCTGAGGTGCTGAACATCCGACGACTGGTGGCCTTGTCTGGCGGCGTTTCCCCCCCGCCAGGCAGGCGCCCCCCCCCCCCCCCCCTGACTACATTCCGACTACGCCATCTGCTATGGAGTCGTACGAGGGCTGCAGCGCCATGGCGGACTGGGCCCCGAGCTGGTGCTACGTGCAGGGCGGTTCCAATTGCAACCAGGCCCTGAACTCCACCGTGGTCGGCGAGACGCGCAAGTGGCGCGTGCGCGGCTCCTGCATCTGCATGGCGGAATGGAACTACGATGGCAATGCTGACGGGGTCTTGGAGCCTACGAGGGCTGCAGCGCCACGGCCGACTGGGGCCAGAGCTGGTGCTACGTGCAGGGCGGTTCCAATTGCAACCAGGCCCTGAACTCCACCGTGGTCGGCGAGACGCGCAAGTGGCGCGAGTGCGGCTCCTGCAACTGCATGGCGGAATGGAACTACGATGGCGATGCCGACGGGGTCATGGAGTCGCACGAGGGCTGCAACGCCGGGCCGTCTGGGATCAGAGCTGGTGCTACGTGCAGAGCAGTTCCAACTGCAACCAGGCTCTGGACTCCACCTTGGTCGGTGAGACGCGCAAGTGCACGAGCGCGGCTCCTGCCAACTGCATGGCGGAGTGGCACTGCGTTGGCGAGTCCGGCGGGGTTAGGGCATCGTACGAGGGTTGCAGCGCCACGGCAGACTGGGACCAGAGCTGGTGCCACGTGCAGGGCGGTTCCAATTTCAACCAGCATCTGAACTCCACCGTGGTCGGCGAGACGCGTACTGGTGCGAGTGCGGCTCCGGCATCGGCATGACGGAGTGGAACTACGATGGCGACGCCGACGGGGTTGCGGAGTCGCACGTAGCCTGCAGCGCCACGGCCGACTGGGACCAGTGCTGGCGTTACGTGCAGGGCCGTTCCAAGTGCAACCAGGCCCTGAACTCCACCGTGGTCGGCGAGACGCGCAAGCTACGCGAGTGCGGCTCCTGCAACTGAATGACAGAGTGGGACTACGATGGCTTTGCCGACGGGGTTATGGAGTCGTGCGAGGGTTGCAGCGCCACGGCCGACTGGGACCGGAGCTGGTGCTACGTGCAGGGCGGTTCCGACTGCAACCAGGCCCTGGACTGCCCCGTTGTCGGCGAGACGCGCAAGTGGCGCGAGTGCGGCTCCCGCAAATGCATGACGGAGTGGAACTACGTTGGCGATGCTGTCGGGTCCTCCATTATTCACCAGATTTGCGGCTATCGGCTGCCCCCCCCCCCCCTCCTCCACGCACGCTAAGGTGCTGTACATCGCGCGTGCGTTCCCCCCCTTCAGCTGTACCAGCAGGCCTGGAAAGGAACGGGATGTCTCTGCGGACAAGGCGGAGGCCGCGGAAGCCGCGGTGCACCCCCGCCTGGTGAAATTGTCCGTCTGCAGTCCTCTGCACCAGCAAGGCAGTGGAATGGAGGGGGAAGTCTCGGCGGGGACGGCGGAGGCTCGGGCGTCGACCTTGGCGGCAACGACAGACGACCACTTTCCGACCAGTCACACTAGCGACCCCCCCTTCCAATTGTGGCAAGGAGTGCAGCCACTGTTGGCGCTACAGTCCTGCACAAGTGGCACTTCTTTGGCAGGCCCCTCCTTCCCACGGCGGGCGCGGCCCACTGCTGTGAAGGTTGCCCCCCCAGCTCTTGTGACGGAGTGCGCGCGCCCGTGGCCGCAGCGCGCTGCGCACACGCGCGCCCGCCCGCTTCCACCACCACCTGCGGGTGGGCCCAGGTATGGCACACTCCTGCGCAAGTGGTTCATCCTTTGGCAGGCTCTGCCCTTCCGCGACGGGCCCGTTTCGCTGCTCGACGCCGACGACCTCCCCCCCAGACACGCCCCTGGCAACGCTCTGTTGGGTCCTCGGCAGTCTGTGTCGCCTGGCACACCTGCGCCTCCTTCCTCTTGTATTCACCAGATTTGCGGCTATCGGCTGCGCCCCCCCCCCCTCCTCCACGTGCGCTGAGGTGCTGAGCGCGCCAGTCGGCTTCCCCCCAACCGCGTGCGTCTTCGCGCGCGCTCCGACGTGGTCACTCCTTCCACGCGGCAGGGTGCGCCCGATGGGGCACTGGCAGGTGTGCCGTGGAGGCTGGCTTCCTGCGCTGGTGGTGCATCGTCGACCCCCCCCTGTTTTGTCCCGGGCCACGCTCTGTTGGGTCCTCGGCAGTCAGCGTCGCCTGGCCTTTCCGACCTCGCCACGTTGGGTCCTCACGCCATTTCCTCGGGCGCTGGTTCAGTGGGACCCGCTGCGAGCACTCCGCGAGTGAGTCTCGAACGCGTGAGGTGTTCTGTGAGTGAGGCCTGGTTTCCTCCCCCTCCCCCCCTCGTCGCCGCCCTCTCCCCCCTCCTCGTCGTGCTGGGCTGGCGCCGTCTCGGCGACTCCTCACTTTCTCGACGCTAAGATGCGTCTCCCTGAAGACGACGACTTGTTTTGGGGCTGGTCGGGTTTCGCTTTGTACCAGCCCATCAATATATTTTGTCGTTGAGCTGGCGCCGTCTCGGCGGCTCCTCGCATTTCCGACGCTAAGATGCGTCTCCCTGAATTTAGTTCATTTGTTCTGTGCGTGCGCCGCTGCGTGCATTCGCTAATTGCACTCCGGCGTTGGCTGTTGGCCCGCCGGCAATTATCTTGCGCGCTGCCCCATGCTCGTTACGACCCGCTCTCTGGAATCGCCCGTGGAGCCGCAGATCAAAAAGTATCCCCACCAGGTCTGGCCCCCTCGGGCCAGGCCTGGTTCAAGCCGTCTGCGGGCCTGGCCCCCTCGGGCCAGTCTCCCGCGCTCAGGGGGGCGCCCGGGCGCCGCGTCGCCCCCCTGCCCCTCCCCTGGGCCGCGCCGCTTCGCTACACCTCGCTCGCGATTCCCCCGGGGCGCCGGCGACGCCCGCGGCCCAGGCGATGCTTGATCCACCGGACGGAGGGGGCGAGGATAGAGATTGTGCAGCGCATGGCACGGGAGCCCAACCACTGCGATCGATCGATCCACAGAACCCCCGCAGGGAGCAGCCCTCACACTCAGGCGCGGCTGATACAGGTCCGATGCCAGCTACGGTTGCATCTTCCCCCTGCCCAGCAGAGGGAGAAACACAGCCAGTGGGGGGAGGGGCGCTCCCTGATGTTGCGATGGACGCAGCTCAGATCCCAATTCCCCCCACGCCTCCCCCCTCCCCGCGCAGGGAGGTGGACAGGTCTCGCGTGCTCCGAGCAGCGGGCCCCGCCCTGCCCCCCGAGGCAGTGAATGAAGCCCTAGCGCGGAGCTGCGAGACGGCAATGGAAGGTCTGCCCGACGAAAGTCGAGCCGAACCCATTGAAGGAGGCAACGCAGTCCCCCCGCCAAGTGCACAGGCGAACAGATCCCCCCCAGCGGCGACTACAGATCCTCTGCAGGGTGCGGCAGAGAGATCAGTCAGAGATGTCCTACACCGCTCCGCGCAGCCGCACAGGGCCAATCCTCCCTCAGCCTCTTTTTATTCACCAGATTGTGCGGCTATCGGCTGCGTCTCCTCCTCCCCTCCTCCTCCTCCTTCAGCTCAGGGCGTTCGTCCAACTGTGCGTGGACACGCCCCCCAACCTGTTGTCGGTTCCTCGGCGGCTGCGACTCGGGACAGTGCCCATGCCGAATGTAATGCAGAGGAACGAAACGGACATTGACAGAAGCGCAATGGAGGGTTTGCCCGACGAAAGTCGAGCCGAACCCATCGAAGGAGGCAACACAGCCCCCCCGCCAAGTGCACAGGCGAACAGATCCCCCCCCAGCGGCGACTGCAGATCCTCTGCAGGGTGCGGCAGAGAGATCAGTCAGAGATGTCCTACACCGCTCCGCGCAGCCACACAGGGCCAATCCTCCCTCCTCCTCCTCCTTTAATCACCAGATTGTGCGGCTGTCGGCTGCATCTCCTCCTCCTCTCCTCCTCCTCCTCCTCCTCCTCCTCCTCCTCCTCCTCCTCCTCCTTCGGCACAGGACGTTCGTCCAACTGTGCATGGGCACGCCCCCCATCCTGCGGTCGTCTCCTCGGTTGCTGCTCCGAGGAACGAAGCGGACATTGACAGAAGGCCAGAAGTCGCCCCAGACATGCCCCGAGGAGCGACTTCGGCAACGCCGGACTGCCAAGGAGAACTACGGGCAGGGAGGGCGCCGAAGAAGTGACCCCACAGACGCGGGGTCCCCCAGCCCCCGCCGAGGAGGCAAGTGCCGCCCAAGGTGACTCTCAAGATGCACCACCCAGCAATTCGCGGGATCTGCCCAGCGTTGACGGAGTCGCGCCCCCACCTGACACTCCCCCCGCCTCTCGCCGCGTCCCTTCCGCAGATTTCCCGACCCCGCTGCCCAGGGCTGGCGCGGCAGAGGACGTGGAGATTTCCCCCCGCGGCGCCATTTGACCCGATCGGAATCGGCGTGGGCGGCGGGCAGCAGCAACGGGGCCCGACGGAATACGGGGTGGACGGCGAGCGCGGGGAGGACACCGCTTGGGAGTGGCCCCCGAGGGAACGCGACCTCGGAGTCAGCACCTCCGACAGCGAAGCGCCCCACGATTGGGAGGGCGCCGACGAGATCATCAACGGGTCAACCGCCCACGGCCGAAGGATCCCGATCGCCCCCCCCCCCCCCGGTCTCCCTCCTGCTCCTCCGCCCGGCTCGAGGTCGCACAACTCGGGGAAAGGGAGGCGGTGCCCAGGCGCGGAGGGGACGCGGCCCATCATAGGCCCCCCCCCTCCATCTAGGCGCGGGGCATCTCGCGACGCTGATTCCCTTCTCTTGGCCCCGAGAGTCGTGGACTCTAGGTGCACCATGAGAGGTGGCCCACTGGCGGCTCTCCTGGAGCATCGCGAACCTATGGGGGCCCGTGGAGAAATATCCCCAGGTGCCCACCCCGCAACCGCACGATGCGCGTGGGCCTGGAGAACCTAGTCGGCTTCTGCTGGCTCGGGCACCCCCTGTGGCATGCGGCGGTCATTGGAGGCCTCTCCGCAGCAGGGAGTGGCGATTGCCCACTCAGGGTAAGCCCCAGCCACAGGGTGCATGCGGAGCAGGAAACCCCAAGAAGCCTCCGCAAAGGCGCCTTGGCAATGGCCGAGCTGGACCTCTCCTGGCTGGTCTGGTCAATCACAGGATCTGACCACGAGGCCAGGCTCGGTGGGGTGGGCCCAGACCCAGTCCGGGTGCTAGCATTCCGCTACGCGAGTCTGTCACAGGACCCTGATATCGAAGCAGAGTACCAGGATTACGACGAACTAACTCAGGAAGAAATCATGGCGGCCGAGAGCGAGTACGACACATTGCGCCATGCTGCCCCCTACGCAGACATAGGGGTGGGTGACCCTTCGGAAGGCTTCTTCCCCCCACCCCTCCTCGGATTATCCAGATTGCGTCACGACGCCGCCCCAGAGGCAGCTGACGCGATCCCAGCTGGCACGAACTCAGAACATAAGTCCAGTCTGTGCCGATATCTGATCCACGAGCACCGCCGCAACGCGGTGCATTTTCCTGACCACCACGAGGTCAGGCAGTGGGCAGTCAGTAGGGGGCACTGGGTCGACGCTGGCGCGGACGTCCTATCCGCGGCGCAGCACGGCACGGGGCAGGGCGGCTGGGCCACCCCCGCCATTCCCGGCGCAGGGCCTCCCGGCAGAAACGGACCCACACGCGAGGACCGCAATAGTCCACAAGGACCCTGGCCCATTAACAGCACTTCCTACATGATAAAGTTCGTGGACTTCTTCCGCCCCAGCACCAGATGCGCATGCTGCGGCTGCTGGCTCACGCGGGATCAAGACGGTCACAGTTGCATAGTCTGCCGGAAGTTAGCTACCCCTTGGGTGCCCACCTTGGACGGGCTCCACCCGGACAACCTCAAAGCCCCAGGACATCCCCTGGACCTACTCGGTACACAACTCACCCTCCAACTGGCAAGAGCGGGGGCGCGATGCGCCCCCATCACAAGCCACATCGGCCCCCCCAACCTCCCAC